TATCACATTTGGGGAGTCTGCATAGGAGGCTGAAAGAAGCCTCCAGTGGGGCCTGCCCTCCACCTGCCGGCCAAGGTGCGCCCTCCCTGCCCGTGCCTAGGTCTTCTCTAGAAAGAAAGAGGCGTCCGCAACAGGTCCTGGGTGGGCTGCCTTGCGGGGCATCCTGAGCCTCTGATGCTAGGCTTTCCTCAACTTCCTGTAGCTTTGAGGTATGGGAGGGAAAGCCCCCCCCCTCAGCCAGCAAGGTAGTGGGAGTCATGGGAGTTGTAGTCCATCACGTCCAGGGAGCAGTAAGTGAGGAAGGCGATGAGTGTCTCGCTTCTGTGCCCCCCTCCAGGAAGATGAGAGGCAGGCCAGTGTGAGTGGCTGTTTTCCAGCTCTTAAAGGTGGGGTTTACACACGGGGATGGGTCAGGGTTTCTTTTAACCAGGGTTTGTGGAATGAAACCCCGGTGGTGTCTGGGTTCACACGTAATGCAAAGCCAGAGGCAGCTGGATTCCCGAATTGGGCCAAACCAAAATCAGTTAAACTCTGATGTGTGACTAACCACTGTTTGTCGTCATTTTATCTCTGCTCCCCTATTTAAAAATAAGCGTGGCGTTTCTTCTTCAGTTAGCACCAGCCTTGCGCTGGGAGGTTTGGCTCCGAGGCACCTTGCGCTTCCAGCTGTGTGCGGTGCCATTCAGGGGACCTACACGCTCACTGGCCCGTGGGACTCATTGCCACAGGGTCTTGCATTTGCATGAATTACGGAGAGAATCGTTCTCTCTGCAGTGGCCGATCGTGCGGCCTTCTAGGAGCGGTATCCTCCTTATTGGGGCCAGGGTCTAGCGGCCATGAGGAGCGGGAATTCCCATCGTGCTTGGTGGGTGAGCGTCACTGACCGCTCTTCCCTGGTATAAGAATGGTCAGATAGACTGCTGCTTGCGCTTGAAGAGAAGGAGAATGGGCATCACCAGGCTGGCATTAAGGAGTGGCGTTTGTATTTTATGTGCTGCCCTTTTCCTGCCCTTTCAAGGGGCAGCGTAATCCATTGTTGCCTTGGGGCACGGCGAGAGCCTGAAAGCCGGCATTCCTCTCGTCTCCCTCCCCAAACTGTACATAATCCATGCCTTGCATCCCTTGGCCTGCGGAAATCGCCATTCGCTTCGCTTTTCTCAGGACCAGGTGGCTTCCCGGTGTCAGAATCCGCAGTCTGGGGGCTACCTATGCGTCCAGCCTAGGGAGCAGGGGACAGTTGGGCATCCTGGGGCGGGGGGCTGTGTCACATTCCCCTCCGCCTTCCCAGGGGCCGGGATGGCTCTTCTGAGCCTCCTGCCTATTACTAC